GCCGCTTCGGCAGCGGCCAGAGGGCTAGCAGCCTCCCCCCCCTCCCCCCTCGCAAGGAGGGGATCACCGGGCTGCCTTGAAGTGAACGACTCAAACACAAGTTTAGATGATCAGGAGGCTCGACGCCATCTTGATCGTAGCGAAAATTAATTAATTTTTCATTCCAATCCAACCTAATACATGCAGGTTAAGGTTGATATGAGTACAGTCAAACAAGACTTAATTGATGCTAAGATTACTAATTACCATAAATGGCGTGTATTTAGTTTATGACACTCCTATTTTTATCGCTGCAAAGCCTCACTTGTACTCGATTAATACCACACTAGTTCATCACGCGCGCCATCGCGCGCGCCGGCAAGGTAGGAAAGGAGATACCTACATTCTAAAGACCACATGGGTCTCGCAGAGAAATGTTAAATGTGCCCGTGCCTAATATTGGCGGGAAAACCACAGCACTTCATAAATTTCCTGCAGCGATATTAATTCTCGTAGAAATTTTACTCACACATATGCATGTCATAGGAACTTTAATGATTTCAGCATATATATGTTAGTGTTAGCCACATTGTGAGCCGATAATAGATAAAAAATGAAGCTCCACAGCTTGATAACCTGATGGTAATTGACTCAACGAGGAAATTGGAAGCCAAAGTTATGATATTCACAAAATATATCACGGCATTGCGCCGAAATGGCAAGTGACATGATGAGCATTAATTGTGACCAATTTTACCTTCCTTACAACAATATAAGCTAAGCAAATAAAGCAGCTACGAGCACCAACAAAATCAAAATGCATAACACCATTAACAAGGCAATCACTTCACACCTCTCAAAGCAAGCTGTCATACTACATAGTTTGCCACCTTTAGTGAAGGTTCTAGCTAGACATGCTTCTTAGGTCTCACTGAGTACCGATTAACAATAAAAGCGAGCGCTATGCTGCAACGTGATATGCTTGCAGTGATAATTGGCACAACAAAAGCAGAAAGAATAGCTAGTCAATATTACTAAGTACCGACGTTTAGATGCAATGCCAGACCTAAGAATTTGCTCCAGCGTGAGGCATCCACCATTCTGCCGCATCTCGGGCTACACAGACCCGACATGGCGATCCATGACGAAACAGACGTGGCCGCCGACCGTGACAGCACCATGGAATGTGCACACGTTCCGACACCATGCGGAGGCGTGCCTCAGCCACTTCACCTCCTCCTGAACAACCTAGAGCCCGTCCCCTGCGGGCAGGGGCACCCTCTTCACTGCCACCCGGTGCTTGCACCGCTTGGCCGCGCTGTCGCCACCGCCACGAGACAGTGTGCCGGCTCACACCTCCTGGCCGGCGGGCCTAGGCGGGTCGCTCCCGACGCGGTGGGCGAGCCTGAGGTCCGGTTGCGAGGCGAGGTCGAAGGAGTTGCATCCTGGGAAAACCTGTCAACATTTATCGTCACTCAAGGTTAAACAGCTGGACTACATTTTATGGAGTATGCAAAAATGACCAGCTGATTCACATCGAGAACCAAAACATTGCTACCAGGAAATGCAGCAAGCAGCAAATTGGTAGCTACATCTTTAACGAAACTATGTAACGGAACAAGAAAACAGTTCTCACAGTAATAAACCTACATAATGCAGAATGATTTCACCATGATCACCAAGACACTACAGTAAAAGGAAACTATTCTATATTATATAAGAAAAGGAAATGAAGCCACGCTTGCCATGTGGTGCCATCCAGGCTTCATCATACTGCAAAATAGTGCAGCACAAGCAACACTCCAAGCTAAAATACAATGAACACAAGAGCTACTACAAGCAAGCAGAACTGGCAAACAAGCAAGCAGAAATATATTCTTCAAGACAGAAGAGACTGTAGGGCTTGTGCAAACATCAAGAATGGAACATATATAGCTTACCAAAAAGCCATGTCGTTAAGTGATGAAATTACTTGGCAATAGATAGCTTAAAAACATGCAACTAAAAATACAGATTACAAAGCAGTTCAGCAGCAAAGATGGCAACGACTATATACAGAAATGGTCCAATTAATATATATTTTTTTGACAGAGGTAATAGCCAACTTTGATAGAAAGCAGAAGGAAAGTGTCCAACTAATGTACCTACTTTGTACCTAGCTGGGCAATCTCAAGGTTCAGCTGATTAGCATTCTCAAGTTTATCTGCCAAAAAGGAGAACTATGATTTACTTTAACAGTCAAATGTCATTAGTAAAGAAAAAGAAATATAAAGTTCAGTTGTGCAACCTTTAGGAAGATGTATCCCTCCTTTTTCAAAGTCAATGCGCAAGGTAGTTGCTGCTCTTCGAGCTTCCTCTGTGAGCAGGACACTTTCACCCTCAGCTTTTAGTATAGCATTGTACAAAGTAGTGTTTGTATTCAGGTACTGCAGCGCGTTACAGAAATCAAAATGTTACTATAAATTGATCAAGTGATCTGATTTCACATCTTTTGCAATTAGCTAAAGGATGGCAAGGTTTCACAAAAGTGTTAGACAACCTATCATAATACTTTACGATCACTATACTATGCAGACATGTTGATTGTTTAAGCCATTATTACATATAACAGTCCAAGTCCATATCAAGCAATGTTTGATGCCAAGCTCACCTGAAGATGCTCATAAATCCTCATTGATGCGTTCTCTGCCTCCTCCACAAACTCCCTGGCACACACACAATAGGATCAGTCTAGGATTGAATCTAGACATGTGAAACTAACAGAGATCATTATCCATGTAAATAGGACAAGGTTCTATTTTAGGTTTGAGCAAATTCAGGCAACGCGGGAAGGGGGCTGAGCAAAAAATCCCCTTTATCTCCTTTCCTATCTTATCGGCCATCGGTGGAGGCCATGCAGCGGATCTAGTGGAGACAGGGAGGGCTCGCGCTGGATCCGCCTGCTGGTCGCAGATCCACCGCCTCTGTTGCCTGCGCGAGCTCCAGGCCGTGGTCCAGCCTCAGATCCGCCGCCGGGATGGGCCCCGCGGGCGGCCGCTCCAAATCCACCGCCGAGGTTGCCGACGTGACCTCCCCGTCATCATCCACGGCTAGCACGGAGGTTCCTCTGCCGCTAGAGCCCTCCGGCGCGTCAGGGCCTCCGCTGGCTGGCTGCGCGGCCGTGGGGACGACCGGCGACGGAGGGGCGAAACCCTAGGCCGCACGACCCGCTGGCTTGCGTCGCGACGAGGAAGTGGCGTGGCGGTGGTGGTGGTGGCGGTGGAGGAGAAGGAGGAGGAGGAGGAGGGAGGCCGCCGCGACGCGGAGGGCCGGCTACCGCCGAGGTCGTCCCGCGCCGTCGCCTGAGCCAGGTCGCGCGTGGGGAGCGGCGAGCGTCGCGGAGAGGTAAACGGAGACGGGTTTCGTTCTCTTTCTTCTGACGGTACGACGGGAGGCTTCGAGATATTCCAAGGGGGGACTGTAGACGCCGGTGGGAGCAGGCAGGACCGTCGATCGAAGAATCCAACGGATGAAGTATTTCGGGTGACGTGGACGGCTTGAGGAGTGGCCAAACCTCCCTGCTTTGATAATAAGAGATAACTCTACACACCGTCGTAGTATATTATCAAAGTATATACACAGCCACATAAATATAAATGGAACTTGGTCAATAAACTTGCTTTTTTCAGTAAGGCCACGTTCGGTACGTAGGGAATGAGTTCCTAAAACCGTTCCTGGCCGGGATGTAAGCCTGTTCGGTTGGTATTAAAGTCGACTGATAAATCGGCTGAAACTATTTTATTATGAGAGAAAAATACTATAAATTTTAGCTGATAAGCTGATTGATAAGTTCAAACGAACAGGCTCTGTAAAGGCCAGGAACGACGAGAAACGAACGAGGCCTTAATCTATATCGCGCTCGAGCGTTTCTAGCGCTCGGTACACTCAGATTTCCTGGCCGTCGATTTTCTGGCGCTCCCCCCACAGGCCTCTGTTGGCACCTGGCAGGCGGGCTCCTTGCTTGGCTTGGCCCGTACGTGCGGCACGTCTGAACGGGAAGGCTCAGGAGCAGGCGGGGCTTGCTCCTTGTCTGCTTGTTTTGGCCCTGCTCCTGTAAGGCTCCTAACAGCCCAGCTAGTTCCAATTAATTTATTTTTTAATTAGTAGTTGTTGATTATTTTTTAATCATATTTATTATTTCTGTTTTAATGTAAGTTCCATGTTTAATTGGTGTAAATTGATGGTTCGTAAATTAAAATGTTCATAATTACTCGAATAATTATCTGATTTTTTTCTTTTTGATTTTCTGTATGATTTATTTTGTTTTCCTTTGAAATCTTTCAATTTGGCTTCCACCGAAATAATTTGGCTAATTTTTTGTAGTTTTATTTATTACTTTTGCATTACTTTGGAAATTTTTATTTGGTTCATTTAATCTAGCTATTTGTTTTGTTTTATATGTTCATTTAAATTAGAATTAAGATTTGTTTGACCATCAAATTATGTCCACAATTAGTTATTTTTGGCTGACCCAACAATCCAGTGCTAGATAGACACACCCTTTTTGTTTTCAGATTAACTAGTCTCAGACTTTGACAGAAGAAATTCCCGTTTTCGCTTCACTATTCTCCCTCGTCCCTGATTTATCCCCCAAACTCACCGCCGGCGACGGGGCACAGCAGGCCAGTTCTCCTTTCGCCGGTATCTGTCCATCCCCATCCTCCTCCCCGCCTCTGCGCGTACTGGACCACCGTGGAGCGGGCATCCATCCGGCCTTGGTCTATTCCTTCCTTTGCTCGTAAGTAACCCTGATTTTTGCTCTACGAGTTTGTTTCGTTCTCAGCCGAATCCAAATCTCACTCTGCATTTGCGGATTCGTGCCCTATTTACTACTATATTCCAGCCAGCCATCCATCCATTTCGACTAGGTTCGTCTTCTCCATCGCGGAAGCTCAACCCGAGTTGACGCCAGAAGAGAATCGGTGCCCTAGGTGTTCGCGCAGAATTATTTTCCAGAAGATTTGGGGATCGAGTCGAACCCTATGCCCCGATTTAAGCCTGCCGCTGGCCTGCCCCCTTACCACCACCGGGCGCTCACCGGTCCTGGAGCCGGCCATGGGCAGGGTCCAGTCCCCACGGCACATGGGATGATGCACCGGGAGGTCCGTGACCCGTACGGGCCGCCGGGGCCGGGGCTGCACCTACTGCCGCCGGGGCACGGGCCCGGTCCGTTCCCCTACGACATGCTGCCCCCGCTGCCCCCGCCGGAGGTCCTGGAGCAGAAGCTTGTGGCACAGCGCGGGGAGATGCAGAAGCTGGCCGTGGAGAACGACCGGCTTGCTGTGAGCCACGCCTCGCTGAGGAAGGAGCTGGCCGTGGCGCAGCAGGAGCTGCAGAGGCTGCAGGCGCAGGGGGAGGCTGCGAAAGCCGCCGAGGAGCAGGAGATGAGGGGCCTCCTTCATAAGGTTGGGAAGATGGAGGCCGACCTGAAGGCCTACGAAAACGTGAAGGTGGAGCTACAGCAGGCGCACGCTGAGGCGCAGAACCTTATGGCTGTGAGGCAGAGCATGGTGGCCAATGTGCAGAAGCTGAGCAAGGACCTGCAGAGGAACCTCGGTGAGTCGCAGCAGCTTCCGGCACTCGTCGCTGAACGGGATGCTGCTAGGCAAGAAAATCAGCACCTCAGGTCTGTGGCGGATGCTGCGTTTATCCTTTAGCATTAGCATGTATATTGTTCAATATGTGATTGCCTCCACCTTTGCATGCACTATTTATATTTCAGGAATACGTATGACTACGAAAGGAAACTCAGGGTGGATCACTCAGAGTCTTTGCAGACAATGAAGAGGAATTATGACTCCATGGTTACAGAGCTTGAAAAACTCCGTGCTGAGTTGAGGGACACGTCTAATCTTGACAAAAGTGGTATGGAGTTTTGTCGTTTATCAGTTATTTCCTTTATTGCTCTATATATGTTGGCATCTATAGGGACTAGATTTTTTATTTCAGGTTTTTTCACCATGAAACATTTGTATGTGTAGGTTTTTTCTACAATAATACCACCCAAAAGGCCGATGGTATATCTAGCCATCTTTCTGTTGGACAAATTTCTTATGATAGTGGCTACGGAAGTGCACAGGTGAGCCGTGAGCATCTTTAGTTCTTTACTTCCTAGCTTAAAAGTTGTTAAATGTCTGTTTGCTTAAAGAGGCCATTTGGCAGCGATTCTGAAGCCCGTTCCATTCTAGAAATGCCAGAATCTCTGCCAAACGGTTTTCTACTGGACGTTTCATTTCACAAAGCACCAAGAAACAGACCAAAGCTGGTTTCACATGAGAAACGGTCCCTCTGTTCCCACCTCCCCCTTAGCTTCACTCATATTTACTGCCTTTTTCCTCTGTTAAAATAAACTCCACCAATTCTCACTTCTTCCGCAGATGATAAGATTAATCTGATCTGATAGGGTTTGGTTAGTGTGTGCATATATTTTTTATTTGTTATATCATTGGAAGCATATGTAAAGGGGTGCATCAATTAATTTAACCAACATCCTCTCTTCAGAGAATCTGAATCTGGGCAACCTGCCAAACTATTTAAAAAGTGATTCCGATTCATGGAGAAACATTTCTGAGGAGAAACTAATCTGAAACATTTCTTGGAGAATCTGGATCCCTACCAAACAAACGATAAATATGTCCTACCGTTGTGATCATGAATTCATGATTATCTGCCACTACAAGACAGCATTTACTTAAGTGTTTCCTCAATATCAGAAAATCTGTTCATCAAATTGCAATTGAGCCCTTTTGTTGTGATTCTTTCATAATTTAATTTCTACCTTAATGGTTATCACGGTGCATGCTTAAATTGAAGTTGAGGTGTCCTGCTCCACACTTCAGGACATGAATTCAAGAGGGTTCATTCTCAACCTAAGCAGTCCACCCACTCATTGTTCTCTTCCTTGTTGTCTAACAATGCCAACCTTCCAACAAATGAACAATGGCCTCATCTGATTTCAATGCCTCATTTCTCTGTTCATTTATTCCATCCCATTCCCCATTCAGGCATTCAGCCTCAATACTAGATCCTCTCCGCCATCTCCTGGGCGTCCTGCTTGTGCCAGTGCCTCCTGTGACACACACCACCCTCCAGTGCCACCTCAACATGTCATTGAGGGAACATAGAACCTACTAATTCTTACGGAAATTCTTTTGTCACCTTAACATGCAATTACTTGCTCTGTATGGACAATGCTTTATATGAAGGATGCTCAAAATTTTCAGCTGTCATAGTTTGTTAAATCAGCAAGATTTGCCTTATCTGACCATCTTGCTTTGCATGTCTAACATTTGATAGAGCTATACAAAAATATGCCAGATAGTTTAAAGATGGCACATACCCACCATGTCAAGATTCTAGTGTGCATAGTACATAGCGTGTTACTGCTACTATTGAATGATTGAATCAGTGATCTGGATGCCCCCTGTTCTCATATTGGGTAGTCATGGGCCCATGAGCAGTTGCTGATCACAAATGCAGAGTAACTTGCACTAATGCTAGATTATATAGTTTCGTTAAAAAAAAAGCTAGACTATAGTTGGTTACTTTTAAGTTTGTCCCTTGATTCTCTCTTTTCTTTCTTCCTTTTTTCTGGCATGAAGTTAATGGATGCTGCTATCTTGCTGTGTAGAAAATGGATCGCAAAGTAATTAGTCTACCATTTCAAAGCACTCATAATATTATTTCTGCCTTCAGCTTATTGTAACTTTGTTTGGATTCATCTTTATCTAGTGATAACGATATGATTTTGATGTTAATTAAGGCAAGGACAACTCCTACTGGTCTGGCAGACCCTTTAAGTGGAAGCCCTGGAGGGACTGGTCTTCGTTCTGGATTGGATCCATCAAGAGGCAATGCATATGATGGTTCTCATGTTGCCAATTTCAGTTCTTCAAAAACCGGGACCCATGATGCAGCAAGGGGTGCCACTGGCTTTGACTCTTTGAAGGGTTCTGGGTATGATGCTTCAAAGGCACATGTAATTGGACAGGCGTCAGCTACAGCGGCTCATGGGGGCCTTGCTGGTTACTACGGATCCAATCAGGCAACATCGGCTCCATATGCATGGGGACAATCTGCATCGACCTATGGATCTGTACAGGTGCCACCATCTTATGCATCTGGGTCAAACACATCCTACGGCGCAGCAGCAGTGCGTCCCTATGGCTCAGCTCAGGCGCAACCATCATATGGACAAACACAGGCACCATCTGCGTATGGGCACACACAGCTACCATCATCCTTTAGTCTAGCACAGTCACAATCCCCCTTCACTGCTGCACAGGGGTCCTCTCCCTATGGGTTGGCTGCACAGCCTCCGGCATATGGATCTGGGCGAGCAGGCACAAATGCTGGCAACTATGAAGCGTCTCATGGACGTAAATAAATTTGCGGCAAATTTGTAATACTTGGCTACTTTCAAAAGAGAGCTTTGTACACCGAGTTAAAATCCTTTCTGTAGCTACTGAAACCTTGTTGTTTAACTGTTCAGAGATGCCAGAGGAATCTGTTACAGTCGATAAAAAGATTATCTCTGTACATATCGTGATGCATCTTAAGTTCTGGTGCATTTTTTTTGCTCAATAGAGTAGGCCAGTTGGGAACTCAGATTTGACTATTTGAGTTGTGTGCTTTGGTTTTATATCTGGCTTCACCAAGTTATGCCCATTGCCTGGCTGAAATGCTGCATGTACGATATGAAATTCACTCTGCAGATACTGGGGCTGTGCTAACTCTTAGCTTGTTGCTGCAACTTTGTATCAAACATCTGAGCTGGGAAGAAGCTGCTGGCAAAATATCAGGAGATGCCTGCGGCCTGCCTGAAAGCATGACCTTCTAAGGCCTTTTTAATTCCTCCCCTTAAAGTTTACTCTCTATCCTATCAAATGTTTGACACATGCACATAGTATTAAATATAGACTAAAAAATAACTAATTGCATAGTTTACGACTAATTTGCGAGATGAATCTTTTAAGCCTGATTAGTTTATGATTTGATAATGTGGTGCTTCAGTAGCACGTGTGCTAATAATGGATCAATTAGATTTAATAAATTCGTCTCGCGGATTACGGATGGATTCTGTAATTTGTTTTTTTATTAGTATCCGAACATCCCATGCGACACCCCATATAACACCCGATATGACACTTCAAGACTTTATATCCTGAATCTAAACGAGGCCTAAGTGGCCGGATGAATACGCATAATATCCTTTCATCCATGACTTCGCAACAGAATGACAGACTGAAACACATCATTTTACACCCATGATTGTTTACAGTACACCAGGGTACGTTTTCATGCAGGGAAAAAAAAGAGAGGTGCACGAAAAATCCATGGTGAACTGATGTCTTCTGAATCTGCATCAGTGGTCATGGATTAACAGAAATTAGTCGCTGAAATTCCAGCTTGGACCCTTTGCTTGTTGGTGCCGCACCACAGCCGTAGTTCTTGGTGGCCGCACTACTACTACGTCGACGGCTCTAAACCTCCAACAGGAATTCCAGCCGTAGTTCTTGGTGGCCGCACTCTTGTGTCTGATGGCTCTAAACCTCTAACCGGACTCCAGCAGAATAAATTCATGCGACCTACCTTTGCAGAAAGCAGGACAGAAAAAGACCCAAAACGGTTCCAGCTCTAGCTCTACGCACAGGGGAATATATTAGGCCCTATACTGCCTGCCCCAAGGTTAAACTTGCAATTGGTGTAAGAAAGATGGTATTGATTTGATGGAAGGGTATAAAGCGGAAAAAGGGAGGAGGCTTTACAAGAACAGGAGCAGTACAAGTGAAGCTCGTGAGGTAACTGGCCAGCCGGAAAAGGCTCACTGAATAATCACTCTTTTATCTCTGGAGTGCTCCATCTTTACAGAAGGCAGTCTTCTTGCAGTAGTATGAAGCATGGCCATGGCGAGAGTTTATTCAACTTGTGTCAAATCACTCGTGCGGTATGTTTGCTAGCGCGACATATGTAGCTTACTAGCTTTAATAAGAGCTTATCCATTAAACCAACTGAATGATGACATATATAGCTGTGAAAAAAAATTACCACTGTTTTGCTTTTTATGATTTATATATGCCATTCAACATTGATGTTGCCTTGCCTGCCTACACATTTAGGTGTTTTCTATATAATTAGGTTGAATTTCAACCGCTACGACGACGTTGGTGCAGTAGCAACGTACAGATCGGATCAACAAGAAATCTTTAGCCTAATCATATCACTATCTTCTGCCCGCACAATGGAGCCGAGACATCTCTTTAAATGGATATATCACATGCTTTCTAGCTAGGTTCTATATATAAGTAGTTACCATTTGTCGGATTCTGTTATTCTTAATTTGTTTGCTTGGCTCACATGAAAGGGAAATAGGTCATAAACTAATATTAGCTTGATCAAAAGAGGTAAATCTTTAGCATATGAAAATCTCAGCCGCAAGGTCGAGCTAGGATTATCGTCCTGTTCGTTTGGCTTATAAGTCGTACTTTTTTAGCCAACGAATAGTATTTTTTCTCACAATAAATCAGCCAACAGTACTTTCAGCCATGGCTTATGAGCCAAGCGAACATGGCAATATCTTAACACACACACACTTTTCTGTACGTGTACGGCCGATGCCTTCCTTTAGAAGCCATCTACCCCTCCTGTGCCAGGATTCATATTCTGCTGGCAAAATCTCCCAATGACACTTGGACACAAAACATACACAAAAGAAATTGGTGATGGGCACATAATAAACACATATAAAAGAACTGACATGCAGCTTTACTGCACCGAGAATCGATGCAATTAGTTTAGCAGGGATTAGGACCCAAACATATCTAGGGCCTGTTCGGCAGGACTAAAAAATATTGTTCCGACTGATTGTTATGAGAGAAAAATACTGTTCTGGCATGACGTGAACAGTGATTTCGTGAGGGCGAGAACCAGCCAGCCAGCCAGCTTAAAGCCAGCCGAACGGGCTCCTAATTCGTAGCTCCTCGCCTAACATCCCTGAACCCTCTGCCCATCATTAGGATTCTGCCTAAAATTCGTTGTTATGATCGACGCCACGTTGTGATTACAGCAAGAGCACATTACATGTACGGCAGGGACTAAACTAATAAGTATCGAAACAGGGGCACAAAAATGAACGAAGAGACCTCTAGTCAAGAGAGAGATGGCAAAGGCAAGCCCAGCTGTGGGCAGTGGGAGCTGTAGCCTGTAGGCAGCAGCACAGTACTGCAGCTTGAACTGATCTTTTTATGTGAGTAGAATATGATCGCTTTTACATAGCATCATAATGCCCTTTTTGACTGATCCTCATTAGTCAGTAATCTTGAATTATTGTATACTATATACAGATAGTTAGATACGCGCACACATACGTGCTAAAGAGGGTTGGAACTTGGAATGATCTGGTGAAAGAAAGAAACTTGTGCATGCGAGTCTACTTGTTCGGCACCGAAAAATGGTAGATTATTGGAGCACTGTGAAAGCCCGCTACTTTTTATCATGACACGAATTATTTTTGTGGAATTCTGATTAAGGACGCAATGCAATGCAAGATCACGGAATTACGTGCAAATCACGGTTTGCTTCTCTGGGCTTCTCTTGTACAGGAAGCTGTTGTAAAGTAATCTGCTGCTCTCTCCTCTGTACGCGTGGCAGGGGTAGGCGTCGAAAGTGTTTCCCTGCTGCTGCACTGTAGCCGCGGCAGGAGCAAGCATCGAAAGGCTCCCCTGCCGCGCCACAGCAGGGGCAGACGCATATGTAGTCACTGCAGCAGCATGACAGCCTGACATGTGTGTACTAGGATTAGATGGGTAGAGTTATATATATAGCTTTTCACTGCAACTCAGTAAAGAGAACGAGTTCAGTTTTGCCATCTCTTCTGCAGAGATCCGTTCAACGCTGGTGCTTATGTTGTGTGTTAGCGCTCTGTTCTTCCTCCCTTCTTCTACCTCTAGCCATAGTGAGCGAGAACGCCGATGAGCGGTCGGCTCATTCGTGCGGGAGATCTCGGGACCAACGGCTGTAGCCTAGGATAGAATGCATCCGGGGTAAAAAGATCTTGGCGAGGGCCTGCTTAGAATAGTGGCCATGAATGAAGTGACTGAACGTATTAGTGACTCTGATGAGATGCTGGCTTATCCCCATAAGCTTCCTTATCTGAACAGTTCCTCCTCCCTCCATTAATTCCCCGTTCCCTTATCTGAAGCTATTACATTCAGACAGTGTTCTATTTGATCCACGATGAACCACTGTGAAAGCTCAACTTGTATTTTGTTCTCCTATGATTGAGAGTAATATATGTATTTATGGCAATTCTTATCTGAGCGAGGGGTTCATTATTGCTGGACAGCTAGATTTGTTCTGAGAACAACTAGAGAAGCTCTGGAGAATCCTTTTTGGCAACTGAGATTTTTACTGAAATGTGTCGCAGCACGTGCATCGCATTTCAGTTGGAGCTAAGAGGTTGTTTTCACTGAATGGGCAATCATAATTCAGAGCCGCCAATTGGCCAGTCAAAGGAGGGAAAGTGACTGGTGATAGACTGGTAGGTAATAGGGATTAGGGGGGTGAAAATTGTGTGCATGTGAGGCCGCGTTTAGTTCGGCCCCAGATTTGGCGCCGCCCAAATTCGTGGTACTGTTGCGTGCTGTAGCGTTTTGTTTTTATTTGGTAATAATTGTCCAATCGTTGACTAATTAGGCTCAAAACGTTCGTCTCGCAAAGTACAACTAAACTGTGCAATTAGTTTTTGATTTCGTCAACATTTAGTACTCCATACATGTACCGTAAATTTGATGTGATGGGGAATCTTCTTTTTGCATAGTGCCAAATTCTAAAATTTGGATGAACTAAACGTGGCGTGAGTAGCCTGTGAGGGCCAGGCTGTGTCCATGCCTCCCTCCCCTCTTTGAAGCTAGTAGTAGTAGGTAGGGATGGATTCGACCATCCAATGTTTTCCTCCAACAAATCTCCCACTTGGAGCTGGAGCTGAGAGGTTCAAGGAAAGATTCATGCATGCATCTGGTAGCTTCTGTGGTGAAAAAAAAAATTGAAACACCTACCTGGCTGAGGCTGAGTGAACAGATTGAGTTGAACTGGCTGTGGGCTTGTGGCTGCCCTCCTCGGCCAGTCTGATTCAAATCAAATAATAAGCAAAGCATCATAGCCACACAAAGAGTCCATAAAACTCTGGATCATGAACAGGATTCATTCATGAGAAACTATCATTTGAGCAGCACCCAGCAAACTCAAGGATTTCACTGCAGAAATCCTTGCCTAATAAAAGGTCAAACAGCAGGGAACAGCTCCACTCATGCGAGTACTATAGAAAAGAATCTCTTTTCTTTTTTTTCTTGGACACATGCTTATCTTTTCAAATTCAAATTTTAATTT